AATATAAAACGTTCAGAAATATAAATATAGAAACCGGGAGACCACATTAAAAGTGAGATTTCATTATATCACGAAAATAATTTTTTTTTTTTTAATTTTCACATTGCTAAAACATGAATATTTTCGTCATTTAAAACACATCTGTAACTGGAAGTGTATGACTACGACCAAGGATTTCGAAAATAAAGGCCGTGTAAGGACTTATAAGCCAGGTGATATAGTATATATACTATATGTAAGAAAAATAAAATGTGTATAAAAAATTAAATTAAAGCCCCTTGATGCTTAATTTTAATTTGATATATCGCCTTTGTATTCTAAATATAGTAATCTTTTTCCGCACTGCGTCATTTCGAAACTAATCCATGTACTATTGCATAACGCTTATATTACATACTTATGACTATTACATAACGCTGGTGATGCAATTGGAACCAAAACTCAACAGCCATTAATAATGTCACAGCAGTATTACTTATCCATTCAAATGCATTGAGAACTGAAACAAATTCATCCTGAATTAATATTTCATCTGAACACAACTTGTTTCCTACACATCGACCTATCTGGGCTGTTGATTGCTGCTCTTTTCTTATTGCAAAGCTATCAGAAATGTATACATACATACGGACGAACAGACGTCATGAAAAAACTACCTTTTGAATCCATTTTAAATCCATTTTGCAGTTTATTTTTGGGAATAAAAGAGTCCTTTATTTTGTCCGTACGTGGCGACGTCACGCAAAAAAAGTCGTCTTAATGGATTAGGGAACGGTTAAAATGGATATTTCTGTTGAAATATATCCTACTTTTTCCCGCTGGAAAGCCCTCCACGAAGGCCTTCCTCCCCTTAGGCAGATAGCCCTTGCGTGCTTTGCCTTAATCAAATAAAGCAAACCAATCATTAAAAGGAATAAAAAATGCTTTTGTTATTCAAGTTACATATTCACTGCTTGTTCTATAATGGCCGATTTCTTACGGCCATTGCTATTCTTGCATATTTGTCGCGTTTTTCTTGTAATCAGTGCCTTTAACGGAAGTGAAATTTAGTGAACCAATAAATCGCGTACGCTCATCATCGAACTATCCGTGGCCAATCCATAAATATGAACTTGCTGTAAGAAATGCATTACGAAGAAGTGTTACACTTGTCAAGCCTTGCTATTTGTAAATTATCTTATTGTGTGTTTTCCCATATTTATATAGAAACTGATGTGCTATAAATCGCAGGTGCTAAAATTTTGTATACCTACGAAAATTAAAATTTTCCCTTTATTAACTAATTTGTATCTTAAATAAATAAAATGTAAAAGTAAGATTCTGTACTTCACTTAAGATTATTTAAAATTTAAATATATAATTCTTTTCTAATGCCTATATACATTATGTTTTAATGTTTTTCTGTTTTATTGAAATCTAATTATTAGTGAAGCTTAATTTGTGTTCATTCAAGCTGTCATTCTTAGCAAATAATGTCTACTTTATGATTTTCTCCAATTCTTTTTTTTTTTTTTTTAATTGGCTGCAATTGGCAAAGTATAAATTTTCGCTAAAACATAAAAGTAGTTCTTAATCTTTTAAACTTACGGTTCACTTTTGCAACCACCGCTGGCATCACTCCAAACGCAAAAGTGTGTTAAGCGAATGAGTGTAAAGAAGTGTTTTTTGGCCGACCTTTCACATCCACTCAACACCTGCTGCAACTCTGCTTCGCACCCACAACGAGTAAAAATGAAAACAAAAAATAAGAGATTATTCTACACTCGGCTGTATTATAATGTGCCGAGACGTTAGAATAATCCTTTATTAGTTGCAGTAATATCGCAAATACTCGGATATCGTAATCAGGTAATATCGCAAATATTATCAGTTGGATCTATCATTAATTGTATTTATTAAATTTATTATTAAAAATTTAGGTATTCGTTACTAAGAGGTTCATTTCTTGCTTGCAAAATGAGTCACATGTTGAAAGAATATTTACAAGGCCCGTGGGAAATAAAGATCTTATGTCTCGTGCAACAGCAACTTTTGTCAGGTTGCATGGATAAATAGTGGTGGTGTAACACTACACACACATACACACACACACACACACGAGAAAAAAAAAATTTGGAGGGACTTAACCTTTTCTAAAGTCAAAAACTGACGAATGAAGCACTATATTAAGCACCAAAGGAAATATCCAAAAATAAAACTTTAAAAAGTTTTTAATGCTCTCGGTTGTTGAAATTTTCTCTAAGTGAGAATATATTATCAAGGCTTCATAGTAAATGAACTTGTTCAAATTTTTATTCTAGCTTATTCTATGTTTCACGGTCCATCAGCGGCCGAGCGGTAAAATCGCTGAACACTGCTAGTTCCCGCTTGAGGGGAACGGCTGACTTCATGGTCGTTTTCGTGTATACGAGCCAGTTTTCCTTAAAATGTCCTTCACGAAGCCATCCCTCGCTTAGGCAGATAGCGTTAGCATGTTTTGCCATAATAAACCAAGCCACGTATATTTTGCTTCGTATATTTTGTTACATTTTTCTTCAATATTTCCTGAATAAACCCATTTAAATATGAAACAAAAATGTATTTTAATTAATCAATTAAGCGCAAAAGTTGCCCTAATAATGTCCATAAATAAGAAAAGAATCAATGATCAGCTACTAATCAATCAGGTTTCAAATCTGGAACTCCGAAATCAGATAGGCTGAAAAGTACTGGCTGAATTTCCTCAGTTCTTACTACGTTCTGCTGAGTGGAGGGAAACTGAAGAAAGATGCTAAGTGCAACATCTACTGACATCATCTGTGCGTCTCTCAGAGAAATATAATATTATACTGAAAAGTACCACTGTTGATCCATCCACAAGGAATGTCTTTATAAGCAACGGAATTATTAAGTTACTTAGAACTTAAAATTTGATCTCCTTCCTTATTTGCAGAGCTAAACTCTTCCAAATACTTAACTAAGGTTCCCAGCGACTAATTTTCAGTTTCGGGTGTTGACGATAGTAAGTTTGAGCACTTATCTTGTGAAGTAAAACACTTACCAGTATCTCATCTGAAAAAGCATTTAGCTGTGTTAAAAGGGGAAATAGCTTAGTTTTTAAGTTACATAAATAAGAATTAGGAATACCTTTATTACTTTTAAGTCTGGAAATCCAGATTACCTACAACTGGCTGAGTAGTTAATACTTTTGGATATGGTAGTTTTGTGTGTAGATCAATTGTTTGCGAAATGAGCTGGCTTCATAATGGTTTCAATTTTTTGCATGTTTTGCCGTTATATACTGTGTGCGTACGAGTTTTTCTTTTAGAACATCTTATACGTATGCATTCCTTTGACAGCCCTAGAGTGTTTTTCCGTAATAAGTAATCTGACTTAATCCTTAGAAAATAGCTTCAGAAACTACCCCTTATGTGAGCAGTAAACCGTTTGAGTTTTATCATAAATACGACTGTTGCTTTGTGTTTTGACTTACTTCACTTGTCTGACAGTAACATCAGAACAAGCCCACAAAATTCTTCGTGGCAAGAAGAGCAACACTGCGCCTGTTGTTGGCAAGAGCATTGAGCATCGTACAGGTGACAGTACGACTTCACTCAGTTTTGATGTAGAGCACCTCAGGGAGACTGGTCCTAGGATCTCTCACCCCTCTTTCCTTATCACCAACCACTCGAGAGGACTTTCGGCTCGCCGTATACTTAGAGTGCCACCATGCCGCATGGGCACTATACAAACATCCATGCCTTCTGCGAGATTCAAACCTAGGCCCTTGGGTACTGCAGTAGGCTTCGCTAACCACTATACCGTCTGGGCGGCCCATAAATAGGACTTAAACATAAAAATTTAGTTTTGATGCTGAGTCATTAATGGGCATCCAAGTTAAAGCTTTCTTACTTTTATAATCAACTAATGGTAAACCATTAATCGGTAATAAAGTAAGTGTAATAATCTAAGTAATTGATAAAAGTTTAAGTATTTTTCTTATCTTAAGGCCAGATTCTTAAAGGTAGCCTATTTTTAAATAAATGCGAAAAAGCACTTATAAGGCTATATGGGTTTTTGGTATATGATGCAAAAAATTAAAACATGATAAAATTCGCAGCTGTAACAGAAAACGCCAAGTAGTTTAAATAACGATGAACTATGGGAAAATATGCGAATATACGTTCTCTTTAGTAGCTACAATAAATCCCAGGGTGACACATAAGTCGCTTTACCTATATATTCACAAATAGCTTTTTAACATATGAAGCCACATACATGTAATTAAAAGTAAACATCTCTTTAGTATACTTTACATGAAAGGGACAGTAAATGTTCAATATGTGAGTATTCTTCTATATGCATGAACGTGACGACACTTATTCGCCGTGCAGCATCCATCCTGGAAGGGCAGTAATTTCTAGCCGAATGTTTTCCTGCTGTTTATCAATAGTGTGAGTTATTTGTATGTATGCTGTTGCAAATAATATTATGGAAAAACTCGTATAGTAATATATGTAATATGTATAATTATATTACTCATATAATCAGCAAGAAAATAATAATAGTAATTGTGACATCAAACCTGATAATATTGGCACGTTTTCCTCACGCGAACGTGAATACGAACCAAATTCCTTTAAAAAGTCCTCCCCGAAAGCATTCGCCTTAAACAGATTGCTCTCACGGCATATCTGATCAAATAAATCAACTAATTTTAGAAATCACTCATGCACCCTTAAATACCTGGTTGCATCTTTTTCATAGAAACGAGATCCTGGATTACATTGTTTCCTTGAAAATACCCCTTCTGGGTTTCACTTTTAATTACCAGTTCTTGCTAAGTTTGTTAAAAATTTATTTATAAAGCGACCTGTATATCTTAATTGTCATTTGTGACAGAAATCTTTAAATACCTTATCTTCTGTTTTGAGTCTTATTTTTGCGTATTGCACAAAAAAAAGGTTGTAATTTTGTACTCATCTTATTCGATACTAATATTGACTTTTTTTTCATTGCAGAAAGTGTGAATGATGAAGTCAATTTAAAAGGAATCTAAGCATCAAAATGTCTGTTATTTGTCAGAATTTTGTACAAAATGCTTGGAAGAAAGACCTTTGTTCAAATTGTTTCAAGTCCGTTGGAGACCACGAAAACAGCGACAATGGAACGCATAATGAAAATCTGCAGCAGGATGAAAGCGAGAATCTGAATGAAAGATATGTCTCTCAGTCGGCAAATATATATACATCTCGTAATACTACTACACCACATACCACATGGAAGTCACTAATATCTGAAAGAAACAGTAAAAATTCTCAACCTTTTAAGCTTGAAACTGGTTTTCAAGGGCGTCTTCTGACAATCAACAAAGCTTCGAACGGAACTGAAAAGAAAAATACTCATGAATCGAAAATAAGCAACGGGCATGTGCCTCATTCTGTCGATGACTCTTCCCAAAAGCAAGTAAATGGTCACCTAAAGAAAATATCAGGCTCCCAATCTGAAAGCACATTAAATGTACAAAAAGGCTGCAAATATCAAAATGGAATTCATCTGAGCAATGGTAATGCTGAAAGGAATGACTATAAAGTGAGCAATAAAAATGAAGAAAAAATAGAAATGACAGAAAATAAAAGCAGTAAAGGCCTGGTGAGTCGATATACATCGGAAATTGAAAATGCGAGTAAAGAAAATATTTCAAATCAGAAACAAACTCAGTCTAAATTTACGAAAAGTAAAAGCGAAGATGTACCTCAGGAGTTTAACCACTCTTTGCATAGTATACTGAAAAAAAGTATTTCTTCGCCGGATGATAGCAGTGTCCAAAGCCGTCGCAGCAGCAATGTGGGCTTTAATGAAGAACCACTGGTGATAGGTTATGGAGGTAGAGATTTTAGCCCAGAAGAATTAGAATGGGAAATGGCTTCCTCAGATGGAGAAACCGAAAATGCATTAGATAGTTTGGATGAAACGGAAGATGACCGCGCCTTTTCGAAAATGACCCAAAAAAATACAGAATTCAATTCTGATAACGCCAACCTTCTGCAAAAAGAAAATCCCTGTATTGATAAAAGTAGTAAAGAAGTGAAACGGACTGAAAAAATCTCCAACAAATCAATAACCAAAAAATTAAACTGCAGTAGCAAAATAAGTGATGACTCCACGACTAATAAATCAAATGGTCAAACTACATCTAAATCCTATAAAGAACAGGAATGTAAAACTACGAGTCACGAAATGCCGAGTACTAAAGTCCTCATAAATGAAGAACCATTAAGTTCCTCGTTTAATAAGATTGAAATTTGCCTTAAGAAAAATGAAGAAAACATCGATGAAAACAAAAAGAAAAACTATACCAATGAGGCAGAGAGCTCTGTGGAAAATAACAGTAATCATTTCACGGACGAAACAAACGTAAATGCGGAAGCAAGCAATCGAAACATTGAACATATCTCAATAAAAGACAAAAATGGTTCAATAAAAGTCGCAATAAAGAGCGATAAAACGAACCATGCGGCACGTTCGCAAGAGGTTACAGTCGTTGGAGTTGGAGAGGCTACGATCTCCGAAGATGTCAAAAATAGCACGGAGTTTATAAATGGAGCACTACCACCTTCTCGCGTTGTTAGTACTCCAAACATCGAAGAGCGTGGTGAAACCAAGCAGCCGGACGATCCGGTAATGTTTTCTGATGGCGGGGAAAGTGCCTGGCAGCAAGAAAATAAAAGAAGAAATGCAGAGTGGGAAGGTAATGAATCGGCAATGCAAATATTGCAAGCAATCAATACCTCATTAACAAATCGCCATAAAATGAGAGAAAGTGAATCAGATTCTGAAATTTCAACCTCACTAGACGGGAAAACACAGAATGAATCATCAGAAAATCCTGATACGAATCACGAAGCGCCAGTAAATATCGATGCAGTGAAAAATGTAATCAGTACGACAGAAATCATTTCTGCTGAAACAGATAGTTTAACTGAAGAACCTGAAAGCATTACAGTGAATGTTGAACCTCGAACTTCCTTTCTGCATGGTATTGTTTCAAATGATAATGCTTCCAAACCAAGTGCAATTTATGGACCCGCTTCAGATTTATTTGTGTCTAGAAGTAATTCATCATCTTCATCATCCTCAGACGAGCTGAGTAAAAGCGAATCATCTCGTTCGATAAATACTATTGTAAACAATGATGACAACTCGGAGCAATGCAAACAAAATCAAATTTTGGAAGAAAAGCAGAATGAAAAGCTTGAAACTAAAATTGAAAAAACATCTAAAACGGAAAAAGGTATCAAATCTTTCGTAGTGAATAAAATGAAACCTAAAATACCCGCAAAACCTTCTAAACAACGCCCTTGTTCTCAAACTTATGCTGTGACTAATTCACAAGAAAATATTGCAACACACGACACACAAGCTTTTGTAAAAAGTAGTCCTCAAAGTGTTGAATACTTTTCATCTACGAGTTTTTCTACACTTCCAGATGATTCTTCGAGATCAATAATTTTAGTAGATCACTATGCGGAAAGTAACATATATAATGAAGTGAACAATAAAGAATCAAAAGTTCAAGATGGTGAATACAGTGGAAAGTCTAGCCCTGGGCGAGAATCTAAATTGGCAGCATTGGCTATGGAACTTGAACAGGTTCGGCATACCAACGGTAAAAGACAAGCCCCTGCACCACCTAAAATTCCTGATCCCCCATTAGAAGATCCACCAAGCTGTACAGGAAGAACATCTCCAACTTCCTCGGATATTCCACACAGTTTTTCGACTTTCAGAGGAGAAACTGCTGCATTTTCTTCAGCATCATCTACTACTTCAACATCATCTCAAGATACTGAGACTGGATATGCATCATGGAATTTACATGGTGACAGTGATGGCCAATCTAAATATTCGAAGTCAAAAGGTTCTTTCCTTCTCACACAATATTCGAAATGCAAAATGATCGCTATGGGTTATGCTGAAGATGGTGTCAGAGCAAGAAAAAAATTTTCTCTGAAAAAACTGCTCAAAAAGGGAAAAGATTCTGAATCTAAAGGGACTTTCGATCCTACTGGCAAAGCATGGAAGTACAATGATCATTTCGAAAGACCACGAGCCAAATTGGAGATAATCCATCCGATGGACCTAGAGAATAAATCTGTAACAGTAAATCCAGGATTTGATTCTACGAATACAAGTTCCGTGTCATCTTTTACAGCAAGTGCCGATGACTTGTCTCTAAGAAATAGCGTATCCAGTGATTATGGAAGTTACTATTCTGATACTATGTCCCCAGCACAAGATTTGAAACCGGAGGCCAATTATGAATATATCCAGCCACAGATACAACCAACAGAAGATTCGGAGGTAAGACCAAAATTTCGTATATAATAATTGCTACTTTTCTGTTATCGGAACCAGATTCATAAATGTATGGATGGATGCACGTGTGTATGCGTGTGCGTATGTGTGCATACATATACATATGTACGTACATGTAAAAAATACAAGAGCACATGCATACATGCCCATATGTACATATATTTCTGAGTTCGGTCCCGATAACAGAAGAGTACCAAATAAGGTGAATGATTTTTCTAAATAAAAAGAAAATGTCTGTGATTAATAATATTTGATCCTGGTTAAGAGGATTTTAAATAATTTTATTTTCACCGAGTTTCAAATATTTTATTCTAAATATCCTTATTTTTTCAATAGTAATTATAAAAGAAAAATAATTCATAAATTTAAAACTTTATTTCTTCGTACTTAAGTTTTGATTTTAAGCACTATGAATCTGTAATTTCTCAGAACTTTGTATTAAGAAATGTTTTAAAAAGGATAATTTTTCATTCCCTCTTTTATCATAGAAACAAAATTAGATTTTTTTAAAATACCATAAACTACATATCAGATAATAGTGCTAAAAGTGAATTCCATGTGAAATAACTAAATAATCCAAAATCTTTCGCATCCGATGCATCTTTTGAAAATTGAAGCAAGAGCAACATCTCCCGTTCTACTGCATCTTAAATGCTTCCTTTCAAAAAAACAAAAACAAAAAAAAAAAAAAAAAGTGAATTTTAAATGCAACGCAAAAAAAGAAACTAAAATTTCTTTAAAAATGAAAAGCTATTACAATATCCATTTTTAACTAAAACATCTGAATGTAATATATCAAAAAAATTGCCTGTTGACGGAATGATAAAATATTAGTTACATCTATCATGAAATATTTCCTCATGCTTTATAAATCTGCAAATCACAGCTTGTTGGAAAACACATTTTATTGAACCTGTAAAATTTCTTGCATTTTTCCCTCCCATTTTCCTAATAATTTTAAATATTAGGTAATCCGTAGCTCATTCATAATCTGCTGAAAAATATAGTCGTCATAAATATAACAAATTCAGTACCTTATATAACCTTAAATAAATATAGCAAATTCAGTCACCATAAATATAGCCTTACAGCAATTTCAGTCATTAAAAATATAGCTTTAATGAATGTGGTCAAAATAAATACAGCCTAAGTCATTTACTACTTTTAATATCTATTGCATAATTCTTCGTGTATGCAGAATTTCTCAACATATCAGATGAAGCACTTTGATTCGTATGTATGAATTACCTAAACTAGCTTATAAATTTCCGTAATTTTTTAGCTTAAAATATCTGAATTCTTTTTTTTATATAGGAGTGAAAGCATAGAAATATATTTGTATTTACAAAATTTCTTCACTATTAAATCTTGCATTGTCATCACTGATATTAAATTTTGTAATATCATAGTCGTTACTTTATTTGCCATAGTATTAATCATTATCTCATTAGCTTACTTATCATATCGATTTTTTAAATTATATTTTCTAATTTCATTTAAAATAAGGGAACGTTTATGAATTTGGGTTGAAAAGGAGATAAAAAATTACATTGTCAACAGTACATTTATTTCATTCTTGCCACAAAATAAAATTTGTTGATATTATAACAAAAACCCAACAAACCAACAACATATATTTATAACTAAAATGCTATAAACCCAAGTTTTGTTAGCTTCTTAAATATTTTATTCTTCTTCTTTAAAACTGACATTACACTGAAGGTATGCGTGTTTGTATTATAATAGAAAACTTATTGCTAGAATGAGTTCATGTTTTATTATTCACATTATAAAAAGAAATGATTACCAGTCATGCAAAAGCCTAAAGTAAGAGATAAAACATTCACAAAACTCCTGTCCTCCATCGTTAATACTTACTTTTCACTATCTCTCCTCTTCATCATCTTTTAAAGCGTTGTTTTTCCTTGTATATTTTGCCAGTGACCGTTTTTCTTAACAGACTTTTTCTTCTTCATTTAATCTTCTTTTTACTGGCGTCATTTACCATTTTCTGGACTGTTTTGCTGTGACCATGCGCTTGAAAGCCGTTGGGTCACACATTTTAATAAAATGTATGCTCTTAATATATACATTCAAGGAAATTTGCTCTTCATGAAAATTGCATCTTTTTAAATTAAGTACGTATTACAAAACGGTTAAAAGAAAATGAAAAAAAAAAAAAAGAGATAAAAGATTCATTCAATAATTTACTCTCAGACTTTTTTTTTTTTAAATTTGATGCTTGTTTTTTCTGGAGAAGCAAAAATAAATCCATTTAGAACTAAATATTGAGTGTGCCTTAGATGGCCATACACGTGCTTTTTAATCAAAAGACACAACTATATGAAGCGAAATTTAAACACATTGCAATAACAGAAAAAACATTTCTGTTTTATTTAAATGTAAATGACTCAAGATTTCAATCTAAAGAAATTGAGTTTTAATCAAAAAGGTAAAGTAAATAAATACATCTCCCATCATTAACCTTTTAACTGTCATGCCCGAGATCAGCACTGGTGTTCGAAAATGTCACGCCCGAGTATTACTCGGGGTAATTTTTTTTTTTTTTTTTTTTTTTTTTTTTGAGTGCATCGTATTGTTATACCGAATCTATATCGGGAGACGTTTATTTCGGCTTCCTTGTCCAACCGACTGTTTCGGAAAAGTAATGTGCGCTCATTTCAATAGATGACAGCACTTTACTGAAATTTCAAAGGTTAGAGGTTTTTGTTCAAGGTGCATGGGATCTTTTGTTGTAAAATAGCTTCCATTTTGAACGTTATATGATTTAGATTCTTCAACCGGATGAAGGTGTGGTTTGATGAGCAGTATTCAGATACTTCCATGGTCAGCCTCAAAATAAAAAATGGCGATATACTCAAGCTGAAGATTGTTTCTAATTACGGTCTAACTGGGTGGTGTAGATAGCTGTGATCAGAATATCCTTTCATCCAACAATCCGAAAACGTCAGAAAAAATATTATAAAAAGATATTTTTTACATTTACTAGACAAGGTACTCTGGAACTCATATTTGCTCTATAAAAATGTAGTTGGGAAACATATACATTTTTAGAATTTCGAATCCAAGTTGTAGAAGAGCTTTTACATAAATATGATGATGCAGCTTCTGGACAAAAGAATGTTGCAGACCTACAATAGATAACCCTGCCCGTCTTACTGAACGACATTTTAATCCCATTTTCCTCCTATTCCTGCGAAACGTGAGCCTACAAGACAGTGCAAAGTGTGTTGTTCGAAAAAGGATAAAAGGGGAAAAGATAAGGAAGGACGATTTGGTGTAAATTGTGAGTTGGTTTGTGCTTGGAAAAGTGTTTCCAGTTGTACCACACAAGACTGGCTAATAATAGGTTTCACTTTATTTTATTTATGTTTTAGAAAATAGTTAATTTTTTTTCATTTTAGAAAATTGCTCCACTAGAAGCGAACTTGCACGGCCATGAGTGACCCGCCTCAAAAAAATATGCAGTGGCTACAAAACTTTAAAAATTTTACCCATGTACGTCAAAATTCAATTTTACTACTTAGTATATTTATTTGTATTAAACATTTGGTTTTTGCAATAAAAAAATTTGACAATTTGTGTACGCAAATCATCAAAATAACTTGACAGTTAAAGGGTTAATCATGACTACTCACCCGACCGTACTTCCAATTTTTCTTGCCCGGATACTTGCTGAGCGTTTAAAGACTGTTGAATATTATTAGTTCGTTCCGGGTTTGAATCCAGACAAAATAGCTGGTTGCATGTTTGGTGTTCTCCACCTGGAACTTGAAGACAAGGCAGTTTCCTTTAGAAAGCCCTCTACGAAAGCATCCTTCCTCTCAGGCAGATAGCCCTCGTGTACGTTGTCATATTCGAATAACCGTCCAAGGTTTTAGCTCAAAACGGCATTAACCCAAAAGGGATGTTAGTCTCGAAACAGAATTTGACTTGTACATCGTTAGCTATAAACGGCAGTATCACTTTTCAAATTGTTGGGTCACCAAATATTATTGCCATGTATTATTTTTAAAGAATTTAAATAATGAATAATCTGCATGTAATGTAGGCATGCTCCTCGCACTGTGAAAAACGATAGTGCCGAGAGCCATCCAGTTTTGAATAACGTAGTCCTCCACCCGAACGTGTGCACCTGGAAGCCCGAATTTATAATTTTGAATTTTATATTTCATATGTTGTAAAACTTTAATGAATTTGTGATTAGACTCTACGAGTTGAAAGCGAGAGTAGTGGCGACCAGCCCTGAGCACAGTAGTAATACTGGAAATAAGGGCGCCATCTCCCCTAACACTTTGCAGTCTACATCTATGGAAAGAGCTTAGTCATATTACCCTAATTTATAAATTTTTTATTATCCAACTTACAGGTATCAATCTTTTAAAAATATTTTGTTTAAATACTTTATCAATTTTACAGAGGGCCACCATCGGCTGAGCGGTAAAGTCGCTGACCGCCGGTAGCTCAGTCCGAGGTTCGAATCACGCGAACAGGCTGGTTGCATGAACGTTTTTATGGATCTCCCTATGTATAATGTATGCACGAGCTAGTTTCCTTTAGAAAGTCCTCCGCGAAGGCGTCGCTCATCTTAGACAAATAACCCTCGAGCGCTTTGCCCATAATCAAATAAACCCCCAAAAAAATTTTACAGAAATATTTAACATTTTAAAAACTCATTATATTTTTTAATCAAATTTAATAATATTTTTATATCTTAAATTTAAAGTTTTGTTTTGCATTCAGTAAATGTTTCTTATTTCATTAAGAGCAAATACGTAAACCGCCAAAATGCAAATAATAAAACTGTGGTCTTTAGGTCTGAAAGGGATCTTGACGATTTGTAAAGTTACTATTGCATTAATTATTAACTTTTGCATTAACCAGCTATTTATAATTTCAACCTATACTATAATTTCTCTTTTCCATTTCCCCACCAGAAACGTAAATGAGTTAGACAGCATTTA